GTCTGGAAGGTCCTTGTAGCTCACTGTGCTCCATGCGTTGCTCCTCAAGCCCAGCACTTCTTCCTTGTGCAGAGGAAATGAATTTTCTATGTTTTATATCCCCAGCCCTTTTAGAGGACCATCCCTCCAGTCAGTACAGAGAAGCACCTCAAAAAGGCCATTTCGCAATGGTCCCTGTGCTCTCCTCCTCCCACGTGGGTTTCAGTGGGGCCAAGTGTCAGCTGGTGGGATGTGGGCGGTTGGAGAGCTGGGCTGGAGGAGCTCTGCTGGGCTCTTGGCTTGGTGCCTTGGCTTGGGCCATGATCAGCATCCCACACAACCTCAGCGATTCTCCAGGGGCCTGCAAGGAGCAGCTGTGTCCTTGGGCTGAGCTGGTGGCCCCACACCCTCTCCCAGAACCACCACTGGTGTCATTGTGTCACTGGTGGTCATTGTGCCTCTTGTGGGGACACCTCCATGGGTGCTGGGATGTAGAGATCCCCCATACTGGTCTGGTGGCATAAGGGACTGAATTCCCCTGGAACACGGTCCTGCCCTGTGCCAGGGAGGCAGGAGGAGCCCGAGGAGCAGCACAGGGTTTCGGTTTGGGGCGGGCACAGGACCCAAGTGGGTTACTCAACACTCAGAAGAGCGTGGCTGCTCAGAGGGGGAAGGACAAGCACTCTAAAGGACAAAAGCCCATATCTGCAGCCCTGCCAGCACAAACCTCCCCAGCCAGAGTGAAACTGGACTATCTTGCAAAAACACTTTGAGCAAACAGTGCTCCACGGAAAGCATCTGATAAGGGCAGCTGCATTTCTGGTGGCTTGGGCGAGAGGACCTCGCTGCTCCCATTAGTGCTGCCGCTCCCCCAGGGCCATCTCACTGCTCTCCGCGGGGACACACCATGTCCACCACCCTGTGCCAGGTGATGGGCTTCCTGGTGGCGTCTCTGGGCGTTGCCGGCACCATCACGGCCACGGCCATGGACATGTGGAGTACACAGGACCTGTATGACAACCCCGTCACTGCCGTCTTCCAGTACCAGGGGCTGTGGAGGAGCTGCGTGAGGCAGAGCTCCGGCTTCACCGAGTGCCGGCCCTACTTCACCATCCTTGGGCTGCCAGGTAGGGGCTAAACACACTCCACGTTTGACCTAGGAGCTCTTCCTGTAGCTCTGCATGGTTCTCGTCCAAAATTGAAGCAGTAGGAGCAGGTATCTCTCCTTGGGGAGGAATAACGTTTGCAGGCTACTCAGAGTAAAAAGGGGAGTGTATTTATTGCCAAAATGATACCTCTATTCAGCGGAAGTTACAGCTTGGAGAAACTTGGAGAAACTTGTGGGTGGTTTCTGGATGAGCATCACAGGTTCAGGCATAAATCAGCACAGCTCCGGTGATGTGAGGGGAGCAAGGATGTTTCAACCCCAGGTATTGTCCCTTTGAAGGGAAACCCAAGGAAAACAGCTGCATGGAACTCTGTGTTGTCAGAGAATAGTGAAAAAGATTGGCTTTTCCAAAGGGAAAATTGAAATTGGAGAAATCCACCTGTGAGCAGGAAGGGTGAGGAGCAGGAGAAGGTGTGTTGGGTCACTTCACCTGACCTGGGGAGGGTTAGTGCTGCAGAAGTTGATTGCAGAGGGGTGTTATTTTCTGGCTGGCTTGCCACTTTTACCAAAAGAGCTGGTTTTCCCCTCCCACTGCACAGGAGGGTATTCCAGTGCTCCTGGCCCATGGCAGAGGGGCAGCCAGCCTGGTCCTCCATGCCAGCCTGGGAGCTCTGGTGCCAGCCAGCAGGAAACGTGGCCCTGGGAGTGGTTTTGGTGCCCAACTACAAATAGGTCCAAGCAATAACTGCTGCCCACAGGCCTTCTGACTGGAGCATGTTGTGGGTTCCAGCCCTGTATCCTAAGGGATGCCACCCTGGTTTCCCTCTGGGAAGCTTTGCTGAGGACCAGGGTTTGCTTTCTGAGGGAAGCCCAAGGGGTCAGGTGGGGTAAATGTGTCTCTGTGTTTCTTCAGGATTGCTCAGGCCACTCTTTCCCCTGTGGAAGAGTTCTTTTTCCTACGGCACCCTTTGTTTTAGGGAATTACAAATATATTCATCAAACTATATATATCTAAATGTTGATGACTATATAGATCTTTGGAAGGCTGTTGTGGGTGATGGGTTTTCAAAGAGCAATGAGGCAATGGCAGCCATCCTTTTGGTGTCAGTTATCTTAAGCCAGGTTTTATATTTTAAGTTATTTTTAGGTCATGTGGCAAATATGCAAAACACTCACAGGCAATTTCTGTTGTGCCTTAGAGATATTCTGTCAGTCTGGATCTTTATGTGTCCATTTAATTGATGAATACCTTAAAACATAAGCAAAGAATGCCTCTGTTTGAATTGGGTTAACTTAAAGACCTTATTTTTTTCCCCTAAACTTTCCATATCCCATCAATCATTTGTGGTCATAAAGTCATATTTCCATTTTTAAAAAATTTTGTATCAGCAACAGATACACAGGTGATTTTTACTTTAAATTACTAAATTCTTTTACCTCGCTCACCTCTCACTGTTGTAGGGAGAAAGACAACTCTCCAGTTGCCCTTACATCTGGAAAACACAGTGATGCAAACTGTGGTTTCAGATCACTGGCATTTATTTTGGTGAAGAAACTTGAGTTTTTGCTATTCCCTTGTTGTGGGACACCCTCCCTTTGTACAGAAATCAGGTGTGCAGACATGGAGCAGAGTTAACACCCTCATGCAAAATGTTTATCCCAAACCCCGGTAGTTTCTGTGCTTGCCTTAAACTCCAGGGCTCTTTGCTCCTCAGGCCGGTTTCTTTTCCTTTCTCTCCTATTTTGTTTGTCTAAACCCTACCACTCCTTCCTCCTGTGGGAAGTCATTCACCTCTCATCAGAGGACTTTCAGTGGAAATTCACTTGAAGCCTCAGTGCTCACTTTCCAAACAGCTTCAGGTCCCAGGAGCCTTCATGCCATAGCACACCTGGGAGAGCTTTCCTCTCCTTCCCATCCCTTTGTGGAGATGGTGCTTCAGTCAGTCTCATGGAGACAGGAATGACTATTTGGCACTTTTTTCTCTTGTGCCCTGCTGTGTTCCACTCCCTCCCCTTCCCAACAGCTCCTTTTCCATGGAGATTCACCAACTTGGACTTCAGCGCTCCAGCAAAAGGGCAACATTCTTGGCTTGGCCTCTTGTGTCATTCCATGGACTCCCAAGGAACACGTCTGCTGGGAATCAACAAGCTCTCTGTGGGATCTTGACGTAGGTCCCTTCGTGATGGGTTGAAAACAGCTCAGTGATGACACCAAGGAACCACAAGGTCTATAGGAAAAACGCAGGAAGGAAGGACTGGCTTAGGGACCAGGAGCTTCTTCTTGTGTTGCATTATCAGCTTCTCCTGCCTGCCCTAAAACAAAGGCAGCTGCAAAGGAACTTCAGTGGTTGTAAAGCCAAGTGAGATTGAGCTTTTCTTCTCTTTGCAGCTTTTTGTGCTTCCCATCAGGTGCTGCGGAACAACCTTTGAGGGCTGATAAAGCGTATCCGCAGCTCCTTGTTCTCTGATGGAGAACAGCTAATGAGCGCGCACCTAGGGGCTGATGAATGGCAGATTGAAAATCCCAGGCTCGTTAGCACTTGTTATCAGCTGATAAGGGCAAATTGAGTCATAAGAGGCAGCCCCGGTGGGACTGCCAGTGGGAGAAGGTGATGTGTTCCCAGCCTGTGGCGTGGCAGGGCGCCTGCTTTTGTGAGCGCCGCGGGGCTGTCGGGGTGCCAGTGCCCCATAGGCACCCCAGCACCCACCCTGCCCTCCTGCCCACCCTTCTCCCAGCCTGTGCAAAGCCAGCAGAGTCTGCTCCGCGCTCCCTGGGCACCCAAAGGGGTGACAGCCAGGCTGAGGGAAGTCCCTGGGGCTGTAGAACGCTCTCCTGCCCTTCTCACCTTCCCTGAAAAGGGACAGTCATGCGTGGGGAGCATCAAAGGCAAGCCCAGGGCTGGGAGAGCTCGTGGGAGGCCGAGAGGAGGCTGCAAAGTGTCCCAGCCAACTCACAACAGCCCTTGAAATGCTTTCGGCCCCTCCTCCTCCCAGCGCCGCCGCCTCTCTGTCTCTGCCTGGGAGAGCAGGGGGAGAAGTGTCTGGGGCCAGCTCTGGATTGCAGGGAAGATGGGATGTGTGCCACCTTATTAGAGAATCACCTTGGTATTCACATCCCCTTTACCCCTCCACTTCTCTGTTTTTAAAGGTGCAAATTTGTCTTTGATTTTCCCCTTTACTTTTCTAGAGAGTCTTGAGGGTTTTTGTTACCTTCAGCCCTCAGCTCCCTGGGAACGACCCCCCAGCTTCCCAGCCTGCCTCCAAACAAGCACTCCCACCTCATGGCAGGCTGCTGCACAGATTCAGGACGGGGGTATTTGTGTATTGTGTTAATGAATGTGGACAGTTTTATACAGGACTGATGCAAAGACCCATGGAAGGGATATGGGGAGGGAGGTTGTCACCAAAGTTGTACTGATGTGTAATGTTTGTCAAGATGATTTTTCCTCTTCTCCCATGCCACGTGCTTTCCTGTGAAGCACGTACATCCAGAACTGCCTTTGCAGTCATGCAGTAGCTGGAAGTATCATGGAGAGCTGGGTGGAGCTGTCTGCTTTCATTGCTGCTTAGGGATTTAAAAGAAGAGTGTTCTCTTAATCAACTTATTAATGAATCAATTCATGCTTGTCCCAGCTCCCCATTAACTCTTCTCTAAGAATTTCAGCTGAGTGAACTGTTCCTGATGATCATTCATAAAAAATTCTATCTAAGCCATCAAACTCCTTGGGAAGTTGAGGCAAACAGCCCCGTTCCAGAGGCACCCCAGATAACACTCAAGTGCAACCCCAGTGCCCATTTTCCAAGGTTTTCTTCTTTAATACTTATCTTTTCAGACAGAACCAGCCTTTAAAATTCTCCCAGGCTCTGACCAGTCTCTTGTCAGTCACTGCTCGTGTCTCCCTTTGTCCTGCAGCCATGTTCCAGGCAGTGAGGGCCCTCATGGTTGTGGGCATCGTCCTGGGCATCCTTGGCCTCCTTGTGTGTGTCTTTGCCCTGAAATGCATCCGCATTGGGACTATGGAGGACTCTGCAAAAGCCAACATGACTCTGACCTCTGGCATCATGTTCATCGTTGCTGGTAAGTGGGCAGTGTCCTGTCTTCCATGGAATTGAGGATGGGCAAGTCTTCCTGCAGGTGCTCTGGAGCCACCCAAAGCCTTGGTGCTCTCATGGAGTTATTGGCATCTGTCTTCCAGCTTGGCCTCCTGGGGTCAAGGGGTTTCTACCTCTGCTTAGTAAAAAAAACACCCCAGAAAGCAGAAGTTTGTATGGACAGAACAAGGAAGACTTGGAAAAACAGCCCACAGATGGAAAGGAAAACATCCCTCTTAAGTTGTTATATAGATGTTGCTGTCATGTACTATTTTATGATTTATTTATATATCGTATTTTTTTATGAGTTTCAGGCTTTATACATAAGAATTTTAGGAATAATTTTAGGAATAATTTTATCCTAGTTTGTAATTTTAAATACCTTGGGTCATCAGGAGGGCTGCAGGAATGCCCAGTGTGCCCAGCTACCTCATGGTTTTAAATGCTTGACATGTCACTTACAGGTTGTCCTACTTTCTTTTTTTCTGAGATAATAAGCAAATGAAATCCATATCCTAATGAATGGAAGGAGGATGTCCCTATTGAAAATCCTTAAAATCCCAACACTTAACTTTCATTGGGATATGAGACATACAACACAAGTTAAAGGTATTTCATAAGTACAAGTTGGAAAGAGGATCAACATCCTGCAGCTTAGATTTTGCACTTTAAAGCTGTCATTTCAGAATCATGGAATCACAGAATGGTTTGGATCAGAAGGGACCTTAAAAACCATCTAATTCAAAACCCCTGCCATGGGCAGGGACACCTTCCACTGGACCAGACTGCTCAGTTTTACTCTCTTGAGTCAGTGGGTTGAGAATCTGGGCAATTAGAAAATCCCACTCATGCATTCCTGAAGATGGAATCAGCTCCTGGGATGGGACATCCCTTGGTTGCCTTCACCTATTTCAAAACAAGGTCCCCAAGCTCAGCTGGTGAGGAATTGGGCCCCCATACGCCTGGTGGACCTGGCCCTTGGTCACACCTTTGCGAGCTGGAGGTTGTTTCTTCCTCAGACAAGGGGGAGAAGTGTTAAAGGTGTGCTCAGACCTCCCGAGAGCTGTGAAGAATTGTTTGGGAAAGACTCAGAGGTCTTGGTGGCTGTAGTAATGATAAATAGGACTTTGGAGGCCCAGAAGATCTGGAGTCCATACATTTGGGCAAAAAGTCCTCACATGACACTTAGTTTTGTTTTGTTCCTCCTTCCACAGTGTGCAAGGCCAGGTTGGACGGGGCTTGGAGCAATCTGGTCCAGTGGAAGGTGTCCCTGCCCATGGCAGGGAGTGGAATGAGATGAACTTTAAGGTCTCTTCTAATCCAAACCACCCTGGGATTCCATGTTAAAGTGTCCTGTGAATCCCCCTACTAAGGAAAACAGGTGATTGTCGTCACTGCCAGGCTCCCCAGGGCTGGGCACCACCACGATACCTTGTGCACGTGGATGGAAGAAGTTCTCACCTCCTGAGGCTGGGCTTCCAGACCTGGCAATGAACCAAATGTATCTCCATGAGGCAGAGAGCGTGTTTTCTCACTAAAAAAAAAAAAAAACAAAACAATAACTTCTGGCAGGGAATCTTTTGTCCATGTTTGTCACTGTAAAACAAATCTTTAACACTGCACTACTGGATATTTTCAGCTACTGAAATGATCTGTTTGTTAAACTCATTTTCTGTGAGAAAAGACATCAGGAGAAAGATTCCTGCTGGGATGATTTGGGATTGTGGAGAGTGACGTTGCATTCCTGCTGTTGGAATTTTAAATGCAAGGGAATCCCAGCAGGAAAGTGTAACATGTTGTGTTTCTGAAGGACACAGAGCAGTGTCTCACCCACCTTTCCAGAGCTGGAAGGTCCTTCTGCAAGGCCACAGGTGACTCTTGAACTGTGTGGGTCTCAGTCTGTCCTTCTCTCTGATCCAGGCCTGTGTGCCATCACCGGTGTGTCCGTGTTTGCCAACATGCTGGTCACAAACTTCTGGATGTCCACCACCAACATGTACCAGGGCATGCAGAACGTCCAGAACAGGTGGGTGGTCAGCTGGCTCAGGGTGCTCCACAGTGGGAATCTTCCTCAGCACTGCAGCCAGAGCAAAGGTACATCTGGGAGTAGGTTTGGATGGTTGCAGGACTTGGAAGATTTAATGCCTTAGGAGATAAAGTCTTACCTGCACTGGAGATGTTGGCTGGGATGTCTCTGCTCGTGCAGCTCAAGAAGGAGGTGTGGAGCCCATTGAGGGACTTCTGGGAACTTATGCAGGGCTGGGGGGAGGATGACAACACTCAGTGTGTTCCAGGGGGAGCAGCCTGGCCCCTGTCCCAGCCCTGAACACATCTGTATCCCGCAGGTACACCTTTGGCTCAGCCCTCTTCGTCGGATGGGTGGCCGGTGGCCTGGCCCTCGTGGGAGGCATCATGATGTGCCTGGCTTGCAGAGGGCTCATTCCAGAGGAGTCCCGGTAAGCTGAGCTGTGGGAGACATGGGAAGGTGCTGCCTGAAACCTTTGCTATGGGGATAGCAACCAACCAGCACAGGATATGTCTGTGAGATCCCCATCACAATAGTTTTACTGTGATGATGGAATCACGGAATCATTTAGGTTGGAAAAGACCATCCCATGCCACCATTAACCCAGCGCAACATCAAGTCCACCAATACGTGTTTATTTATTTTCCCTTTATGGGTCAAAAGGGACCATTTGCCTTCCCTGACTGTGCGACTTGCAGACAAATAGAGCAGGAGAGAGACCTTAAAATCTAAAATTTGCAATGTGCTGGTTAAGACAGGCCCGTTAATTGCAGCTTCATTTGCAAGGTGCACAGCAGATCATTAGAAGGTGGAGATTGCATCAGATGACCTATGATTTATGTAGAATCACAGTGGTTTGGGTTGAAAGGGACCTTAAAGACCATCTAATTCCAACCCCTTGCCATGTGGGACACCTCTTACTAGAGCGGGTTGCTCCAAAGCCCATCCAACTCAGCCTTGGTGCCAGGTTGGGTGGTCACAGACCCCCCAGTGCCTGATGGCAGCTTCTGTGTCTCTTGCAGTTACAAAGCCGTGTCGTACAATGCCTCAGGACGGAACATCTCCTACCGAACGGGGCCCTACAAGGGGTATGAGCCTGACACAAAGGCCAGGAAGGGCCCAGGGTATGAAGAAGCTCCTCGGAGTGAGGATGGAAGACGCTCCTACCCTTCCAAATATGACTATGTCTAGCAGACCTTCTGGGGTCAGCTTCTGCTCCCTTGTGTATTTTTAACCTCAGAAGCAAAAAGTGCAGCAACCAAAGCAGTCTGTAAACAGGATTGTGCTTTCTGTCGTGTTTTCTACTCTGAGGTTGCACCCTGGTTTGTTGTGGACATCAGTGTTATGTGACTGCCTGCCACGAGGAGGTCTACAACAAAATAACGCCTTTTGGTGCTCTCAGAGTAGAACATTTTGCTCCTGTTTTATGTATAAACTGATGTCCAGGAGTGGTGCCTTGTGCCCTTTGCCAATTATTCAGACAGAGAAAATTCCCATTTAATAATAGCTGTGTATGTGAAGTAAATTCAGCTGTGCCCATTTGGATGTGCCCAATGCCAAGAGACCCCACAGTCATGGAATTCTCCTACTTGGTGACTGTTTCTGCTCAGTCACACCTTTGCTTTGCTGGTTGAACTGATCTGCTGGGAGATTTAATCTGATTTATGTTCCTTAGACATTTGCTGTAACCCGTGATACCGAAGTGTATTTATTTCTTCTGTTCTCTCCAGGAAATATGAATAATCCATTGTTATTCCTATAACAGGTCTTTGCTATAACAGCTCCAAACCTCTGTGTGTGACCAGTGTTCCTGCAGATGTCATCTTTAATGAGGCCAGGAGAGTTTCTCATTTAGAATTAATTACAGTTACATTTGGAGCAGAAATCCCAGGGAGCATTAGATGTTTAACTCTACACCGACACCAGGACTTGTTTGTGTTAATTCTTTCCCCAGTGATGTGAAAATTAACTCCTTGGTGAGATGTTGCTCCCTCCAGCCAATCCATCTGAGTGGAAGTTAATTTGAAGGGGTCAGAGGAAGGGATGTGAGAGCTTAGGTGGGAGGGGAGAGCTGTGTGCTGTCACCTGGCTCCAGAGCACATCCCAAAAAAGCTCTGCAAAGGGCCCATGAGAAGAGCAAAAGGATAAGTTAGGGAGAAAGGAGGGCTCCAAACCCACCAAAGTGGCCATTTTGATGGACATCTGCAGGAGGTTTTGGCACCACTTGTTGTAGTTATCAATTCTCTGCAGGAGCTCACCGGCAAAATTGTTTTGGTGAAACACTGGTGTTGGTTTGATGTTCTGGAGGGTTCAGAGGCAGAGCTGAACATTCCTCAGAGCTGGGCCTTTGGCAGGTGAAGCTGCCACCAGCCTGGTGGCTTGTAGGGGTAGAGGGGGCAGGCTGTGCTCACAGTGGGCACAAACTGGGTCCAACACCCCCATATCCATCACTGCTCCATAACCATCAGCTATCCACAGCCACCAGCTCCCCACCATCACACAGAGGCAAATCCCCAGCACAGCTGCAGGAGGTGTGAAGATACTGCCCCTGGGGAAGGTCAACAGTAGGAGAAGGGAACACAAAGAGTTGTAGCACTGGGAGCTGCTTGTTGGAGAGAGGTGGGAAGAGCTTCCATCCAACTCTTGGATGAAGCGCTCTTGGTCCCTGTCAGGCTGGACACTGGCCCCTCCTGCTACCTGGGATAACTCCCTGCCAGATGTCAGGGCTCACCCTCCCTTTCCTGCTACTGATGGACTTGGTTTAGGGATCTGTTTTTAAAGGAGAACAATTCAATTTTGCAGAGGTAAATCCTGTTCTATCTTAAAAACCTTGACACTCTTTTCCATGGTTTTATCTCCACTCTCAGTATCAACTTAGATTTCCTGCCTTTTTTTTTTTTTTTCTTTTGCGTGCTGAATTTAGTTTTTGGCTTGTTTGTTTTGTTGGTTGTTTTTTTTTACACAAATATTAAAAAAGAAGAATCTTCAAGACCAAATTCCAGCTGTTTCCATTTGTTCTCTCCTTGTCATGACCAACATCTACAACCTTCCTGCTCAGCTAAACCCCCCTCAGCTTTGGGTCCTGTAGGTTCTTGGGAGGAGGATGGAGAAATACAGGGAATTGAGGATAAAAATAAAAGATTAGGGTGTGTTTTTTTCCTGTTAGTCACATGCTGAGACAAAATATCAGAAAATCTGCTGAAAGAAGCGTCAGGGGACCCCAAGTCAGTGAGGTGATGAAGTCAGAGCTCCTTGTTGGGAGCTCTCTGAGGAGTAGAATTTAGTTTCAAGGCAGAGATTAAACACTTCTAAATGCTTCATTGTTCTTAGCAAGGAAAAAAAAATGCTGGTATGTTCTCAGCTCCACTGGAAAGGGGATGAAAAGCACGGGAATGTTTAATTTAGATAGGAAACACACAAGTGGTGGTGAGTTGAAGGTACAAAGGGTGATGGGAACGGCGGGAAAACAGGCAGGAAAAATTGAAATGCAGGTTTAGGGCTGTGTTAGAATGAAAAACATCCCAAGGAAGCAGCTTGGAAAGTTACACTTGATTTTTATGCAACACAAATTCTCCAGCAAACTCCCTGAGCTGGTTCTCCCTGAGCTACACTTGGATGTACACTTGGATGACAAGACTGTGGGCAGGAGCTGAGGCACACCTGGATGTAGGAATTCCTGCCTCGGAAGGTTTCTAATCTTCCACCATCGCTTTTCGTTTCCCTCGGCCCCAAACCTGCAGGATGAAGTATTTTAATGCAGCAAATGTCCCTGGGAAAAAAATCCCATTCCAAGGGGGGAATCATTTCTTGCTGAGCCTGTCTGTGGTGTGACCACTCCTGCCGTGACACTCCTACCATGTCTGTGGCTGTGAAGGGCCTTATTTCATGTGGGCACCTTGGCACAGGCTGCCCAGAGAAGCTGTGGCTGCCCCAGCCCTGGAAGTGTCTAAGGCCAGGTTGGACGGGGCTTGGAGCAACCTGGGCTAGTGGAAGGTGTCCCTGCCCACGGCAGGGGGTGGGACTGGATGGGCTTTAAAGCCCCTTCCAACCCAAATCATTCCATGGTCATGTGATTCCCTGTCTTGGGACATGGACCCAAATAGCCCAAGGGGAAATCTCTGGGACTTTACTGAGGACAAAGTTCCCATTTCCAGGCTTTCTTCTGCAGGCTGAAAAAAAAAAAAAAAAAAAAAAAGAGGATACCCTAATTATTCCTTGAACTTGGAGAACAAAGGGAGATCCAGAAGCACCCCCAGGATGACCCAATGGTGGCAGCTCATCGTGTCCCACTGCTGGCTTGTCCCAGTGTCCACATGCAAAGGACAAAACCCCCTGTGCCACATGCACAGCCCAAGGTGCACAGGGAAAGGGACACTTGGACCATGGGCTGCCCCTCACCCCAAACACAACATCTCCCGCCACAGTGGGCACTGCAGGGGAACCTTTCACCCCAAAAGGTGTGGATTTGGGCTCTGGAATCCATGCCCAGGTGAGCAGGGCATGGAAGGAGCAGCACATTGTGGAGGACACCAAAGCCATCCCCATGGCTGCAGGCCGGGAGGAGCAGTTCAGCATTGGCTGGGCTGAACTGGGCTTGCTGGTTTGACCAAACCATGAGCTTTGTGCCTCTGGACTTCTTTTGGCTGAGTAAAACCTGAAAGAGAAGCCAGAGACTGCAGATCTCCTGCCCTGTGAGCAAACCGAGCTTTGCCTCCTGCTGCTGTCCCTGTCCTATGAGGAGAGGCTGAGGGAGCTGGGGTTGTTTAGTCTGGAGAAGAGAAGGCTTAGAGGTGACCTCATCACTCTCTTCAACTACCTGAAGGGAGGTTATAGCCAGGTGGGGGTTGGTCTCTTCNTTCTCCCAGGCAACCAACAATAGGACAAGGGGACATGGGCTCAAGCTCTGCCAGGGGAGGTTTAGGTTAGATGTTAGGAAGAAATTCTTTACAGAGAGGGTAATCAAGCATTGGAACAGCCTACCCAGAGAGGTGGTGGATTCACCATCCCTGGAGGTTTTTAAGCAGAGATTGGATGTGGCCCTTAGTTCCATGCTATAGTAATTGAAGTTGGATCAGTGGTTGGACTTGATGATCTTGGAGGTCTTTTCCAACCCAATCTATTCTATGATTCTATGGTGAGGGAGGGCACACAACCCCCTCCCACCCATTATTTTACCTTTCTTGATAACAAACTTCAGGGCAAAGGATGGTTTTGGTAACACCTGTAGAGCCAAGTCAGGGAAATAATGATGAGTGATTCATGTGGTTTTTTTGTCTCCATAAATTTGATCATCCTCTGAAAAACACACATTAGATGAGCTGATTAAACACAGGCTTGTCTAACAACGCCAGGGCTGCAAAGCCTGGGTGCTTTGTCTGCCAGCAGAGCTCTCTGTACGTTCTTTCTGAGCTTCTGCACCATTTCCAAGGGTGTGAGAGCAGATTTGCATGGATTTGGAGTAAGGGAAGCAAAGACACGTATCTGAAGCTCCAAACTGGACTAAGAGATAAGAACTCTCCTGAAATCTATATGCAATTAAAAGCCCAATCTTCCTTCCTACAGTGACAAGGTTATTGCTTTTATGGAGCTGAACAGAGATGGATGAGTCCATGGATTAATAGCATTAAGATTTATGACACTGTGCTTGCCCCAAATATTCTGGGAGAATAGCTCTCTGGGTGAGATATTCCAGCTGAATAAATTTGATAGGGTTTTTCTTTTCCTTTATTTATTTTTTTTTAAATTTTTTCCCCCAGCTTGGTATTATTTGGGAGAGTTGTGCTGCATTCAGAGCTTTTTAGTGCTGTGGGTTGAATATTTACTATATTCACACTTTATAAAAGTGTTACCCTAACTGGAGCCCCAGGAAGAAAAAGTCATTGAGAAAAACAAAACATAAAATGTATTATTTTGAAGAGCTCAAGACTCCAATGGCATTAAATTCTTAACAGGGGCCTGAGCAGTGATTTTAGTGTTTTGTCCCATGGGAAAAGGATCATGCTCCAGGGGTGTCCTAAATGCTTTTGGCTCTGTTACAGCACCTGGAAGCTGGTTCTTCAGGAATCAGCTGAGATAGTAAAACCAACCTTTCAAGTTGTCATGGCACTGCAAAGGGGCCCTTCCCTTCCCCCCCCCCAAAAAAAAAAAAAAATCACTGCTCTGGGTGATTTCTCCTTCATTATATTGGCTTCTTCTTCAACTTGCTGGTTCTGGACTTGTTTTACTGTTCCCAGAGAGGATAAAGCCAAAGGAGTCTCTTCTGGTAGGAGAAATGAAGTGTCAGCAGTTGGGGAACACCCTGGAAAACCCTCAGTGCGGAGCTGAGCTGAGGACAAGGCTAAAACACAAGGAGAAAATGAAAACTGGGGGGAATTTAGGGAGAGAAGTTTGAGATGGAAGGGATGGAGTTATACAGCTGGATGGGGGACACCAGGCAGGGCAGAGGGGTGAGGGCTGGGCTGCTGGACTGAAGGACAGGGAAAATTGGGA